ATATAATAATGTATAAGGAAAAGTGCAGCATTCAGCGAAATTGAAAGAATCAAGTTGCCACGTGGTAGACTTTGAGTGCATTAGTGCGTCTAGCACCAAGCGGACAGAGTTTCACGCCTACAACAATTCCAATCTGTTTGGGTTTTGATTTCCCAATTTATTTTGGATTTAGTTATTTTATTTAGGGTTTTTTATATTTATAAATAGTCTATAGAAATAATTATTTGAGAGGGGGGGGGGGGGAGATCAATCATAGAGCATCAAGTATAAAATTGTCAATACTTTTTTGGATTCTTTTCTTCTTTCTTTTCTTAGATTAGAGATTAGTGGCTAAACGCCCTAGTTCTGGGGCTATAGTTACGAATTGAATGTTGATTATTTAAGGTTTATGAATTAATTCTTGGTTGTCATTATAAGTTATTTTTATATTCTTGTTTTAGTATTTCTTGACTGGCCATCTAGAGATAAATATATTGTCTAATCTTAAAATCGAGAGAGGAGGGGTTAGATAGACCAGAGAATATAGAGAGCTCGATCGATCCATTTAGTTGAGGTGATTTGTGTTCAGGAGTGACGCCCGAACGAACAACTTGTTTGGTTACGAAACAAGATGAAATATAAATGCTCGCTAGTTAGACCTGTTTATCCCCGCTCAACGATGTAGTTAGACAGCTAACTGGAGTAGGCGACTAGAGGTTTGATACCCGACTCATCCAATTAACCATGTAAACCAGTAACTTGACAACTAAAATTAGTTTTAAGCCAAAAATATGATACATGAGATCCAATGCATGCTGCAGCCCTGGAATTTTCCAACCATTGTAAGTAATCTTATTATTTAATTCTTGCATTCTTTTCTTTATAAACATAAATAACACTTTTGACACTCTTAAATAAATAATTAGACTAGTATAATTTAGTAAAAATAGTTAATTGACAAGTCCATTGAGTTCGATAATTTGGTTCTTTTAAGAGCTACTATATTACTTGCGCGACCACATCGTGTGCAATGGGAAGCAACAATATACAAAAAATTGAAACGGATGAAATACTTTTTTTTTTGTTTTTGGGTTCTCTCTAGGTGTTCAGTATCTATAATGAAGTCCGACCATTTTGAATTTTTGCCAGGTAAGACCCCCTTCGTAGGGAAGCGCTCCCTACCAAAAATTGTTCCATAACCAGAATTTCAATTCGAAACCTCTATTTAAAGAAGGGACAACCTGATCTTACATTAGTTATAAATTTCATGTTTACAACTAGGATCCAAACTTACATCAATGAACATATGCTAAGTTAACATAACATTCCAAATATATACTCCATAAAGTAACATGAGAAATTAAATGTTTTGAACTTTGGATCATGCTTATGTTCTTTTTTATTTGATTGGATATGGGGCTCTGATTTAAAGTGAAATATAATTATACTAGTTTTTTATATTTGATATGCCTATTGATATTAGGGGTGTGCATTCAGTTTTTTTGTTTGATTTCCTACTATTCGGTTTAAATTTTTCGGTTTTTGGTTTTGAAAAAGTGTAACCCAATTCGAATCAAAATAAATATGGTTTGGTTTTTCTCTTTTTTTTTTCTTTTTTTTTGGTTATTCGGTTATATCAATAATTGAAAACATAATCAAAGTTATATTTACAATTTGAACATATATATATGAGAAGTAATAATATTAAATCTCTTAAATATACTTTCTAATAATCACAAGGCAAACGTAAAACACAATACTTAAAATTATATCAATTACAGATGCCCAAAATAAAATATAAACAAAAACATAATGAAAGACAATAACTAAAAAGTGACAAAAGTAGTTTATATATATATAATTCGATTTTTATTTTTCTACATTCGAAACCAAACCAAAAAAACAAACATAGTAAATTATAAATCCAAAATCAAAAAATCATAATTATACATAGTTTATATATATGTACAATGGTATTATCAGTCATTTTGAAGAACTAATATAAAGTTGCGCCCTACATCTATCTCTACTACATCTTTTAAATGATACTTGTACACGCACGACGATTCTACCTTTCTCGATACGTTACCTTTTCTTTTTTAATAAAAGTGAAGGCCTTAAACTAATATTCAGGAGTGTAGTATTGGATTTTTGTGTTTGGTTGATTCTACGTGGAGGAATAGATGAATTGTTGAAAATGAATGAATGAATCAAATCAATCACATCTAATTGACTGTCAATTTTAAAATCCCATCATGCCTTTGGCTGCTTGCCAATTTGCTCTAGTTGGTACATTTTTGGTTTTCTTTGACAATTGAGACTACTTTTGAACACATGATTAAGTAAATAAATAAGAAGTTTATTTTTAAAGATTAAAGTTTTTAGGTAAGATCATGTGTAACGATTAACGACTCTAGTCCAACTATTAACTCAAACACACTTAAAGAGTTAATTCTGAATTTGTTTAAGATGTAATGTACAACCCTTCTTTAAAGGCTTTTCCTTCATCATGGATGCCACAATAAGAAATTTCCCCTCAATCATGAGTGTCACATGATCAGACAATTTCAATGGATGATACAAAGATGTGTCTAGATCAAATGTATTTTTGTTGATATACAACATGGATATACAAGAAAAATGAAGTTGTCTTCAATTTTAAATTTCGATTTGTAAATTAAAGTAGCATAAACTCATCTCTAATCGTCTCCAACTATCTCAAATATTGTTGGCTAAGCTTCTTAAGATGTTTCCAATAACGCAATACCTTATATCACCGAATCGAAATAAATCTCACTTGTGAGGGATCGAAAAAATTGAACCAAACTTCAGATAGAAAATCCCTTTGAGCCAATTGATAAAATGTCTCCAAATAACTACACTATGGATTATTTATTAATGACACGAAATTCTAAAGCAAAAAGTTGATGCTGAACTCATTTTATAAAGCTCCTAACTTTTGCCACATGATCATACAAGTTCAGTGTATGATACACAGACTTGTCTAGATCAAATAGGAGTATGTTTTTTTGTGATGATATACAGTGGATATACAAGAAAGATGAAAAATCGATATGATACCGACGATAGCTAAGCCTCTTAAGATGCTTCCAACAACATAATATCTTATATCATCAAATAAAAACAAATCTCAACTGCGCAAAACCGAAAAAATAAACCAAACTTCAGATAGAAAATCTCTTTGGTCAATTGATAAATGTCTCCAAATACTATATTAGACTATGCAAATACACAAGAATGACATGATCAATTCTAAAAGATAAAAGTTTTACACAACAACATTGACAAGTTAAAATTAATTGTTCCAGTAATAATAATAATTATTATGTATTATTTATTGCCTTCATTAAATGTATAAATAAATAAATTAACAGATTAATATTATTTTTTTACTATAATTAGTATTGATGCAAAGTGAAATTAAAACATCCTTGTTGAAAATGTATATTTGTTTTACATGAAGATATCAAAGGCAACTTCAAATTTGGCAGCAATACTAGTTGGGCCTATGTGGGCTCGGGTCATTGGCCCAATAGGCAATATTTGAGTTCTGTTTGGTTTATCTATGGAAATTAATGAAAATTATTTAACAACCTGAAAGTATAATTACAATTGGAACAACAAAAGATCAAGTTGCAGATATCTCGCTGTCTTTAAAAAAATTCAGGTCCATAGAAAAATCTTCACCGATCCAACAATAACTCGCTTGACTTGTTCCCTCTAGGACACAACAATCGTATGACTTGAACAAACGCTGGACATGTTGATAGAACTCCACGAAGATTGAACACCTTCTTAAACTCTCTTTTCACAACATTGACCTCACTTTTTCATGCATTCTACAATATTTTCCGTGTGCCATCACAAGGTATAAAAATGACTACTCTCACTGTCTTAATTTATGTGATGTAGTTTGACTTAATACCGAATTTTAAGAAAGAAAGACTTTTGAAACGTGTGGTCTAAAATAAGTCACCAATGTTTATTTGGTTATAAATCATTCCATTAAGGGTAAAATGGGCATTTTAAAGTTAAATTGTTACTAAATATAAAAACGTGTCATTCTTTTTGGGACCGACTAAAAGATATTTCAAAATTTTAATGAATTACTTTATAGTAAGAGCGACAATATCTAGGGAAATCTATGAGGTAAATTCTTGATATCACAAAGTTTATAGAATCTAAATTCACGATGGAAGAACATTTTTTGTTAGAGAAGTTGGCACTGAAAAGTCTCATAGCCAACTTTATATGGACCTTTACTGTCACTCTACATAACCGTACATGAAATTTCACCTCATACGGCTCCACGTTCATTTCTTTAGAATTCATTAGAACCTTTTTCCGTGTTTGAAAACTCTTCCTCCCCCCTTTTTCCACTTCGCCCCGAAGAGTATGCCATGTACTCTCCAGGCTTCTCTATGCAATGGACTTCAGGACTCATACCATTGACAAAAGGTTCCGCACATGAGATTTTCACCTCACATAGCTCCTTGTTCCGTTCTTCTTGGAATCTTTGCCATATCTGAGAACTCGATCCCTTCCCCCCTTCTCCCACTATGCTCAAAGAGTACGTATGCCACACACTCTCCACGTGTCCTCAATGCGATGGACATCAGGACTCTTGGCATTGACAAGTCGTACATGCATGAGATTTTCACCTCATACAACTCCTCGTTCAATTCAAACATTTCTTCATTGAAAGCTTTTCCATGTTTGAGAACTCCCTCCCCCCTTCTTCTACTACGCCCCAAAGAGTATGCCTCGTACTCTCCATGCCTCCTCAATGTAACCCTCCTAGCAATGAGAAATGGTGAATGTCAAAAATATGTCAAAGTACAAAATATGACTGCATATCTTAGTAACTGTTACCTGTCAAATGGATCAGAGAATTGTTCAAGACCATACGAAGAGTCCAAATCCTCCACATCTCACCGATGTGGGACTCAACACCCCTCCTCACACACAAAAAGCTGGCTCATGAGGAGAGAATTGCCCCGAGACCATATAAAGGGTCCAAATTCCTCATCCCACCGATGTGGGACTCAACAGTACCAATAAGTCAGCCACTAGAGCATATTCATTTTTTCAAAGGGAGTCCATGAACCTGACATAGGACATACTGATTCTCTTCCAGTGTTTAGTATGATCCATTAGATCCTGCACACGACACGCTTAATCAAATCACATATAAGAAAGAAAAATTGCTGCAATAAGTTTGTGTGCAAGATGCAATTAGCATTAAAATACAAGTCTGTTTGTAATACTGTGGTTCCACCATTTGATCATAAATCTTCATGATTTCACAAAAATCATAAGAATAAAGGAACTCATTATGGATGTAATAGCACTAGCACTACATGAACTGTTAGAAATCCTTAATTTTACCTATCTAGCTGGATGAATGAAAACTTCAAGGCAACTGTTTCCCGAGTCAATTTGCTCTTTTTGAATCATTCTAGCGAGTCTTGTGGCATAAGGGCTACACGAATGCAATTCGATAACTTGCAAAGATGGGATATCTCCAATTTCATAAGGGATTTCTTTTAGCTTGTAGCAAAACCTCAAAACTAAATGTTGGAGAACTGGAAATGGATAACTATCTGTACTGGCCTGCTTCCAAACCACCAAGTCTCTGCTCTCAACCAACAGATATTTGAGTCGATGAAACCCCTCTTCATCGGTTTCCCATTCTGGCCCTTGGAAGGAAAAATCTTTCAGTTTGAGAACTTCAAGATTTGGTAAGTTCCCAAGAACTCTAGCATCTTCCCACAGCAAAAAGCTGCAGCTCAAAGTCAAGTTCTTGAGATTCGGTGGGAATGCATTCCATCGTTGGATAGAATTACGGGGACGAGGATTGTTCATTGGCAAGTTGAACAGCAACTTCAGAGTTTCAAGTGAGTACATTTGCTCTAGGTTGTTGAGACAACTGCCAAGCCAATCCACATCGAAAGCATCATGGTTTCCACCAGTTACCAGATTAGAGGCCAATGTCTTTAGGTTAGGTAATGTAGCAACAAGTCCATGAGAAAAGTTGATTGTGCTAATAGTAATCGTGCAAAGTGTTTGCAGATTCCCCAAGACTTGAAAGTTCCCTTTAGAGTGATCAGCAATGGGGGATCCAAATAACAAAACATCTCCTTTCACATGGATGTGCCTTAGTATTGGCATCTTCCATATTTCCAACGGAAGTATGCGCATTTCCTTGGTTCCCCAATAAATGATTAAGGTTTGTAGATTCTTGAGCTTGGATATCGACCTAGGAAGCTCAGAATTGATGGAGAGCGCGAGGTACCTCAAATGAACTAGTTTTATGACATGAATTGGGAAACCGTAAAAGGAATAGTTAACTACATCCAACACACGAAGCAATTTGAACCCCATACAACCGAAGTAGGAATCCTCTAAAACCGAGCATGCTTTTGATGACAAGAAAGATCGAACGTATGGATTAGAATATGTGTAGGAGGAGTAGGCAAAAATGTCTGAATGGAAATGTAGGCGCCGGTGAACACCTCGAGGAAAATGTGGTTCCAACTTTCTCACAACATGCAAAAGCTTTTCTTGTTTAGCTTCTTCTTGGCAAAAGTTTCGCAAGATATCATGAATGCTACATGTTTTGACTCTATTATCATAGGATCTCTTACTCACTATAATTAGGCTCCTGTCAATGAGTTCCTGCAAATATTCTTGTGCTACAAATTCCAACGTCTTCGGTGATTCCAACTTTATAAACCCTTCAGCAGTCCATAACCTGATGAGCCTCCACACAGGGATTTCAACGTCTTCAGGGAAAGCGCCCATGTAAAGAAAGCATGCCTTCAAATGATGAGGCAAATGATTATAACTCAATGCTAGTATATCCAAGAATTCCCGCGACTCCTCTGTTACAAATGAAGAATGAATATTTTCTGCAACATCACTCCATTTACTAGCTGTCGCGCTTTCTTTAGAAAGAATTCCAGCTACCATAACAATTGCTAGTGGTAATCCTTTGCATTTTTTGGAAATTTGCATTCCAATCCTTTCCATTTCATAATCGCAGCAGAAGCTTGGATCATCTAATCCCAAAATCTTCTTTTGCAATAGCTTCCAACTTTCATCTACAGTCAAGAAACGCATTTGATGTGGAGGATTAAGTGGGTTGATAAAACGAGCAACTTTCATGACTCGACTAGTCACCATCACTCTACTTCCATTCTTGTCATTTGGAAAATATCTTCTAACATCATCCCATGCCTCAGTATACCAAACATCATCCATGACGATGAGATACCTCTGTCCTTTTAAACTTTTGTACAACCGTTCAGCCAATTCTTCATTTTCCATTTCATCCATTATAAACGGAACTTTAGAAGTACAACCCAAAAGGTCTAACAACATATTCCTCACCTTATATTGTTCCGATACAGTTATCCATGCTCTAACATAAAAGTGTTCCTCTATTAACTTGTCATTAAAAATTCTTTTAGCTAGAGTGGTTTTACCAATACCCCCCATACCAAAAATTACCACAACATCAAGCTTATCAGGATACCCTGTTAGTTTATCTGCAATTAGTAAAAAATCATCATCTAGACCAACTACAACATCCTTTTGTGAACTCAAAGTTTGTGTGACATCACGTGAACACCCGTTCACAGAAGAACTCGGTGTTGATCTACCTTTGATAGCAGAAATGTCATTATAAACACTAGTAATTGCAGCCTCAATAGATTTAATCTTTCTAAATAGTACTCGATTAACGCCAAGAAACTTAATTGCATTCTTCTTTAAACTTGAACTAGATGAATACTCAAACATAATTTCCTCAACTAAATCTTCTGCTTTACATGATACATCTCTAATAATTCCTTCTAAACACTTAATGTCCTCATGATCTTTTCCAGTGTCATCAAAAAAACCTTGCAATAAACTGACCTTTTGTAGGAGAGATTCAATTTTCTTTCCACTTTTTGGATGAAGTTGCATGAGTCTCTGCAGAGTGTGCATCAAAGATGTGACTTCAGTATAAGCCATCTCCAATGAATAAGTTCAATCATTTAGTAAAAGAAGACATTCTATGTTCTTTATTGAATTGTAGAGACAAAGAAGATAACCTTACTTTTTTTTATTATTATTTATATTATTATTTTAACATAAGAAGACCAAGACTTTTTTATTATTATTATTTTAACATAAGATAACATATGACAACAAATATCAAGTTGAAGGAGAAAACATTTGTATTCTAAGCCCCCAAAATTGTGAGTGTAGATATCAAAGTGAGAAAAAGTACCATTTCTATAGTTTGCATAAACTTAATTATGTTTCCTAGCTATAGTTTAAGTTGTCTCGTTTGTATGATTCGCGAATTTATATAATTGAGCTATTTTTGTATAAACTCGAAATAACTAATTTATACAAACACAAACATCTGACTTTAAATAGTTATACAAATTATATTATACAAAAATTATACAAATTTTCATAATTATATAAATGTGCGAATTATACAAACTCGAAACCCCAACCACGTAATTATCACTGATTAACTAAAACAATAGCTATAATGACTAATTAACTAGCACATGTTTGCTTAACCATGCGATTTTCCCATATATATATTTTAATAGTAAATTAAAATTATTTTTTGTACTTTCATCCGCGAAAAGGATATATTTAGACATTGCCTGCCGGTTAGCGAAACTTTTTCAATAGTACAAATCGCTACACTTAGTGAATAACGAATGATCCTCCAAACTCAAAGAGTGATTAAGTTTGACTCAAGCGAGTGAGTGAAAGGCGTGGCAAGAAAGCGAGTTCGACTCGCGAATGATCAACGAAGGATCGATCCTTTTGCGCCAATACTGTTGTGAGACTGGTACTTGGCAGCTCACGAGCAACATATAGACTAAGGTTGCCCATATTTGTATAACCATAAAGATATATGTAAACTATTTTAAAAAAAATAAATGATATATTAACTCTAAAAAATGAGTAGCTTTGACTTGGAAAAATAAAAAAGAATTGAAAACCTCAAAATAATCATCATCAAGATTTTTGAAGTAACAGAAGTGCAAAAGTCGGTCAACAGTTGGAGTCACCGGTAAACTCCACTCTCTCCGGCAGCTGTAGAATGATCACCGGCGAATAAAAAAGTCAACGGCAATCCGAAGATGATAAAGATGAAACCCATTACACAATTTCTCAAAACAATCATAATCCTCTTGTTATTTCAACTTTCAACAACTTCACAATCTTCACATCGAAAGCCACCTCCACTCCCAATTCTACCAATCCCAAAATCCCGTCAAATCTCATGGCAAATTGCAGAAATGGCACTTTTTCTCCACTTTGGTACCAACACTTTTACAGATTCAGAATGGGGTACAGGTCACGTTGACCCATCAATTTTTAACCCCAAATTGTTAAATGCAACACAATGGGTTACAGTAGCTAAAGATTTTGGTTTCAAAAGAGTAGTTTTAACTGCTAAGCATCATGATGGGTTTTGTCTCTGGCCTTCAAAATACACTGATTATTCTGTTAAATCAAGTCCTTGGAGAAATGGGGTTGGTGATATTGTAGCTGAATTGGCTGAAGCTGCAAGAAATGGGGGATTGGAATTGGGTTTGTATCTTTCTCCATGGGATAGGCATGAGCATTGTTATGGGAAAACTCTTGAGTATAATGAATACTATATGGGTCAAATGACTGAGTTACTTACAAGGTAAAGATTTGAACTTTTTGCTCTGTGGTTTGGTTCTGAGTGCGTTGTCTAGCTTGCCTGTTTTTCGTCGATTTTAGTAGCATGTGTTGTTTCCTTTTGTTCAGTTATGGTATGTTGTTATTTGTTGTGGCTACTTGGCAATCTTTATTTAAGCTGAGTGTCTATTGGAAATTATCTATTTGTCTCTATTAGGTAGGGGTAAGGTCTGTGTTCCTCGATTTCTGTTGCTATTTACAGCATTTGTACTTTGATTATCATATTATTTTGTTGTAGTTAGTGTTAGTGTTTGCTTAAGCCGTAAAGCGACGCTCAAAATGTGTTGAGTGTTTCACACTCACTTAATGTGCGTTTCAGTGTTCTCATCAAGGTTCTAAGACATAGTTTTTGTTGCTAATGAGTTTGTTCTTAAAGAGGCGATACTAAATGATTGATATTTCAGTTTATCATTAAAAAAAAATCAATTTCTTTGTTTGTATATTTGCCATTTATGCTTATAATTATTAGTCTTGGACTAAACATATATATTTGTATTTTTTCCTCCCTATCCTCCCCAGATCACACTTGGTTTGCTGTTCTTGGTTTGGTTTTGAATTGATTTGAGAATGTTTTTAGTGACTTCAATAAGAGCATTACTTGGTTTGTTGGATTATACTACTCTATTGTTATGGTTGTTGTTACTTACAAGGTAAAGACTCTAACTTTTTGTTTTGTGATTTAGTTACTCGATTTATGTTACTATTTTCTGCTTTTTGTACTTCGATTATCGTATTATTTTGTTGCAGTTATTGGTTACTGTTCAGAATGCTTTGTCATACTTTGTATAGTATTTTTCCATGGGTTCTTCACTTCAGTTATTTCCTTTTTCGATCTGCTTTGATTGTTTTTCCTTGAGTTGAGGATCTATCAGGAACAACCTCTCTACCCTCTAGGGATAAGGTCTGCGTTCTATCTTCTCTAGACCTCACTTTGTGGGATTATCCTAGGTATGTCGCTGTTGTTCTGTCATTTAGTTTTGAATTGATTTGAGAATGTCTTTTTTGGTGAATTTAAGAGCATTTCTTGGTTTGTTGGATTCTACTGCTCTGTTGTTATGGTTGTTGCAGACCCTAAAATAAATAATTAGAAGTATTCCATTTCTTACAATTTAAGATTCTAGATGAGGTGGTACACATAGTTTTCATTGTTAGTAAGATAGTTGTTACAACCTGTATTAGGGAAATAATAAAGTATGTGCTTTTGGATTAGAGCTTGTTCTGGCTTTTATGTAGTTATTCATGTTGTGATTGGGGTATTGTATATGTATGTGATTGAAAAAACGTGAAAATGGGGAGTGAATAATGAAGTTGTGTATGATGGTTTAAAATTGTAACTCACGTTTGCAGTTTCACAGTCGAGTTTTTACGGTGCCAATCTAGAATGATTCTTTTTTTTATCCGGGAATAGTTATTGAAGGACCAATTTAGAATGATCTCTTTAAGTATGAGTTCTATGATGACAGGGATTTGTGAGTCGTTTTACTTACTAATGACTTCAAACAACAACTTCTACTACTATGCCTCAATTCCAATCTTGTCAAGGTTCGCTATATTAATCCCATTCATTTCTCTTAATTTGGTCTTGTTCCGTACTAATGGCTCTGAAGCAACACAAATATGAACGTATCACAGTTTAATTGTTTGTGCCAGACTGCACATTTTAGAAGCTTTAAGGTATATTTGTTGGCTTCTGTATATACAATCTAGCTGTAAAACGAACTTTGAGTTCCTTATCTGAATGATAGATTCCTAATTTAGTTCTCGGAATAATTAATAAACCTTATTCAAATGGAAAATACGGAGTACTTTTTTCCCTAGAACAGTCAAATTTAACTATGGACATGAGGGACGTGAATTCACACTCTTACTCGAGTCGTGATACTTCAGGTCATCTTACCGAAGTATAAGAGGATCTGACCCCCACCAATTATAGTTTGTATTTATTTTGGTTGCTGAGTTCACTATTTCTTGCCATCAAAAACTGCACACATATTTAGACAAAGAAATATGTAAAACTTGATTATACAGGACATATAGGCAGAATTTATGAAATTAACTGCTTTTTTTTCCTGTTGAATTTCTACGATTAGAGAAACTTCTAACAACAATCACTCCCGATCTCCACCCCTGCCGAAAAAAACCTGCTGAGCAGATATGGAGAGATTAAATATGTTTTTTTAGATGGTGCAAAAGGTGATGGCGAGAAGGATATGGAGTATTTCTTTGATGATTGGTTTAGCCTTGTTCATCAACTCCAACCTGGAGCTTCAATCTTCTCTGATGTTGGTCCTGATACGAGGTGGGTTGGGAACGAGAACGGTGTTGCTGGAAGCACTTGCTGGTCCCTTTTCAATCACAGCGGAATCAAGATTGGTGGTTATAGTGATGCCAGGTAAATCTTGTGTGATTAGTCTCATATTCATCGATCTTCTTATTCTTATTTGCTTTCAGCGAAATTTCTTCCCTCATTGTTTACTGTTAGATGTAATTGCCATTTTAGCTAAGCAATAACACCTTTAGTAAAAATGAAAGGCCCCTATCACTCTTAAATTCCATCAATCGAGACAAGAAATCTATATGGATAAATTGCTTTCACATAATACATAACAATTCGCAGTGTCTTTCCTGCATCATTCAACTCTTTCTTCTCTGAACACTGAGCTTCCTTTTATCCCTCTATTTTTTTTTTCATGTGTTCAACAGATATTCAGCGGAGGGGGACGCCTTTGGCGAGGACTGGGTTCCTGCTGAGTGTGATGTGTCTATCCGAACTGGTTGGTTTTGGCATGCATCAGAAAAGCCAAAAAGTGCAATGACTCTTCTGGATTTGTATTACAAATCAGTTGGTAGAAACTGTCCCTTATTGCTAAATGTACCACCTAACTCATCTGGTCTCATATCAGACGAAGATATACATGTCCTCAAAGAGTTCTCCGAGCTTCGTAATTCTATATTCTCCCATAATCTTGCAAAATTTGCCCTTCTCTCTGCCAGCAGTACACGAGGAGATCCGAATGATTCTCAGTTTAGCTCCAAGAATGTAATTGAGGAAGGATTATATACATATTGGGCTCCAGATCAGGGACAACAATCAGACTGGACACTATATTTAGAATTTCAACAGGTTATAACTTTCAATGTCTTGGAACTTCAAGAACCAATTCAAATGGGGCAGCGGATTATCGAGTTTCATCTTGACATGTTAGATGAAAATGGAACATGGCAACATGTGGTAAATGGAACGACAGTAGGATATCGGAGGCTGTTACTTTTTCCTACAGTGAAATCTCACCTACTAAGGTTTGTTATCGACAAGTCCAAGGTGTTCCCTCTAATCTCCCACTTGGGAATTTACATGGATTCATATTCTGTTCCACAACATGTCTCTGATGATACACACACGAAATCAAAGTTCATTAACAACTTAGTTTTCAGAAGAACTGCATACAACCAGTCTCAATCTGCTTCCATCTAATCTTCGTCGAGCAGCTTTGAATCTTCTTTTTTGGTTTTTCTGATGCTTTGGCATGTTGTTTTTTCTTCGATTTCAGATGTTGTAACATAAAGTTTATATAACACAACTCACTTTAGTGTGGAGCAACTTTCAATGTACTGGACATGGACCTTGTGATTTTTCTAATGCTTGTGTGAGAAATTTTTATAACCTGATTTCATGTGTTGTGTGAAGTTCACAAAATGATTACATAAGACTCAATGTAGTTCGACACTTTTTCGGACCTCATGCATAGTGAAAGCTTAGTGTATCAGACTGCTTTTTTGTTAATGTATGGTGACATAAGTGAATGATGTCCAGACATCTTACGTATTAATTTCATTTGAAGATTTAAGACACTTAAATCTGAATGTACATGTGATTATTAAGATTAAACGTATAAAGAGCGAGTAGCAATTAAATAGAATGTCTTAATTTATCAATCTACAACAAGTTAAATGAGCACCAAATAGGGACATTTCATACAAAAACTTGGGGTCATTTACACTTTAGGCTCTATTTTATGTTTTGTTTTTAATTTTTCTCCTCGAGGCAAATAATTTTTTTACGGGGCATAAGCTTATATTTTTGCATCATAATAACTTATAAATTATGTTTTACGTCTATAAAAAACTCATGAATTACTTAGACATAAGTTAGATTTCTAGGGAACAAAAAATACAAACCAACTAATCTAAAGGTTGAAAATTAAAAGAAGGGGAACGAACTTACATAAATCTCATTAGTTTAGGAGCTAATTACTTAGATACACTCTAGTTTGCAATATTACGTATCTTATCAGATTTTCGTGTATCCATATACGTTAAGATACGTCCATCTTGAGAAATATGAGGTCAAAATTATGTGTAATTTGTTATACATACATTGTTTTCAAGTGGATTCGTATGTATCTGAGATACATAACAAATCTTACTCGCCTCTCTCCCATCTCGCTCACCACTCTCATATGTATTTGGCATCACAGATACATGTGATTCACATATTTTAGGGATACATAACGAAACTCGCTTCCCCCCCTCCCCATCTCGCTTGCCTTTCCTATTTTAGTTTATCTGGTAGCAAAAATACATGTATCTAAGTGTATCTTCCTCAATATACAGTAGAAAAATCTTAATTAGTGATAAGATACATAATATTTTAAAATTATAGGTAATAATAATGTATAAATTTTAGGAATCACATAGTTTTAATATGAAATTACAATCTATCCCTATTTAGTTTGTAATTACATTAATCCCTGAAAAAGTAAAACAAACCGGATACATAATATGTAGCTCGGATACATTAAAAACTAGCTCGGATACATTATAAAATAAATCGAATACATAAAATATAGCTCAGATACATTAAAAACTAGCTCGGATATATTATAAAATAATTTAAAATTAGGAGAGAAATAATAGATTTTAGAGGTTTTTAGAAATAGAAGAGAATATTGAAAATAAGGAAAATGTAAGATGTGTATTTTAGTAATTTTTCCATAATAGTATATATGATAGTGAAATAGGTCGAATTATGTAGTTTTTCCTATACAAACTCATTTGAAAGACAAACCGTACAATTACTTACTTCATTGTGGGAGAGTCCACTTGATCTTATTGGACCAGGCCCAAGTAGAAAGCCCACATAATTTTTTCATTTTTATCATTATACCCTCAAAAACTAAAAAAATTACCAATCAGACCATTTAAACCTCCATTTTAGCAAAACTCTTCTCACTTCCTCCAGAACCCTTGCTCATTTTTCCACTTTCACTGCTTTAACCTTTTTCCGGCGCCGCCACCGTCGACGGCATTATACCTTCAGGGTACATTTTTATCTTTTCCGTCATCTCTCATAGTAGTGAACTAACTCTTTTTGATTTGGTTAGGTTTCTACGCATCTTTTGCCCTAATTTTGAATTTTTATGTAACTTTAGTTATGTTTTTTTGCTGATTTATTCACTGTGTATCTGTTGTTTGAGACTTTTTAAGTAATGGGCATTCGTTAAATGATCTGATTTTGCTTTGTTTTGAATTAAAGATTTGATTTTTATTTCGTTTGTTTTGTTGTGGTTATAATCATTTCTTCTTGTGTTAAGATTTGGATTGCTGAGTACATGAGGGCGTGGAGGACACGGATTAGGTTAGAAGTCTAGTAGGCAGCCTTTCATATTAGTAGGGATGGGAATGGAGCGGTGCGGGTGTGGGGCGGTGTGGATTTAAGGCTATGCAGGGCGGGGCAGGTCAAAACTTTGATTTTTTAAAATTATGCGGGGGGTGGTTGGCGGGTCTCCTCCTGTTTTGTCAATGAAGAGCTGCACTTTTTTTTACTGTTTGATGGTTGGATAATATTAGGCATTTGTTAAAAATTATTCACAAGCAGATTCAGCAACAAAAAAGATTTGAGTTTCTTTTTGCAAATGATGTTTGTTTGAGCTGTATTTGTAAGAATTTCAAACTCGCCTTTTTAATTTTGTTTAAAACTTCAAAAACTGTTACAACTATCTACACCCAAAAAAAGTTAAAAATCTGTTCATGACTCTATAATTTCCTAATTAAATAGTTTTAAATTAAGTGTTAAATTATTTTTAATGTAACAATGGTAATTTATAAAACTTCAAAAAATATTTGTATATGTAAATAATGAAGTAAGAAAAAAAAACTTTAGTGGGGCGGGGCGGGGCAGGGCAGGGCGGAGCGGGTTAGGAATTTTGTGGGTTTGACAAATCCCGCCCCGCCCCGCCCCATTGCCATCCCTACATATTAGTAATCATAGTATTATTGCTTTGGTAGTTTTTGTGATTTCTGTTACTCTCTGTTGTTCGTTGTACCTTGATTATTGTATTGTAGTATTGTAGTTTTTGTTCTGTTACTATCTATTGTTTTTTGTTCTCTCTACCTCTTAAGGCGGGGTAAGGTTTGGGTACACTCTACTCTCTCTAGACTCCACTTGTGGGAGTGGGATTTCAATGGGTATGTTGTTGTTGTTAAGATTTGGGTTGCATGGTCTAATGCTTCTACATCATGTTGTAGATCGGTAGTTGTTTAGGGTTCACACTTGAATTGAAAAAGGGCAGTAGATCTTTTTAACGGTTTGAATAATTAAAATTATTGTTGAACTGATTCTGCAGTGTTCTGATATTACCACTGTTTTGTTGTTTTGAATAGTTGCTAAGCTTCAGCTTTTGGGACTCTGTTTGGTATCTCCAATTTCTTTCTAATGGCGGTAAGTTTTTTTTTTTTTTTTTAAAATAATGTTAGATTGTGGGTTCCATATCTAATGTTTTTTTTTTCCACGTTTTTAGATTGACAAACTCTTCAAAGATGAAGCCACTGAGGAAAAGGGTGAGCGAGCTAGGATGGTAAGTCTCATTTTGTTACCCAAATATCGAGCATCATGTGAGAAAGACAAGCTCAGTTGTTGCATTGCCATGTTATATAGCTGCTTACGACTATTATTCTTCGATTTTCTGAAACCATTTGAGTGTTTCAAAATTTAGGCATCCTTTATTGGAGCAATGGCAATTGCTGACTTGGTAAAGACAACCTTAGGACCTAAGGGAATGGTAAGAACTAAGTTTTTGATTATGTACTTGCCGGTATTAAGGAATGAGAAGAGTTAGGATTGTGGTTTTGATAGATACTTCATTTTGTTTCAAAATTTGCAGGATAAAATTCTGCAATCAACAGGCAGAGGACACAGCGTTACAGTCACCAATGATGGTGCAACAATTTTGAAGTCCCTTCATATTGATAATCCAGCTGCCAAGGTCCTTGTTGGTATCCTTGATTTCTTTGTGTTCCTTGTACATTTTCCCTGAAGTAAGTGAGCATTTTTTTTATGGGCGTTAGATAGTTCTGCTCTCTTTTGAAATAATAGTGTAACTAGTTGGTTGTTGAACTCTATGGCCACTATTGTTGAAGGTAAAGTTGGATCGTATCCAAAAACGAATCCGCTGAACATAGTGTTTAATAGGTTCATCTGGACAAATGGCAAACAGGTAATAGGGGTTCAGTGGAAGATTACACAACTTACTTTCTTTTTCGTTTAAGTTATCATTTAAAAGAAAGGCTAGATATATACTACTTAATTAAGATCTTTTACAGATAGTTGAATGAGATTGACACTGGAACTTCATCATAGGAAAGATTCCGGAGAACAATAGAATGTGATTGTATGCAATGTTATCTCTTGACCCTTTGTAAGATATCTCCAAGGTACAGGATGATGAAGTTGGTGATGGGACAACTTCAGTAGTCGTTTTGGCTGGAGAACTTTTGAGGGAGGCAGAGAAGCTGGTAAACGCAAAAATTCATCCAATGACAATTATAGCAGGTTGTTCTGATGATCTGATGTCTTAACATGTTTTGTACAGGCATACGCATGTGTATGCATATCATTGACACTTCCTTCAAGCTTCTTATATTCAGAATAGTAGAGTACAAATTGCTTATAGACTGCTTTATTGAGTTTTCTTGTGTACCATTACTGCAGTACTTGCTTGCTATTTTTTCTTTATGTGGGCATCTTTTCTTTTATCTATTGAAGCATCTAGGGTTCTTACTTTCCGATGCTTGACAGTTGTTAATCTAGAAAAAGCTCGACTATTTATCCTTGGATGATATTGAATGCTATGATAGGCTTAAAGTTTGCGCCAGAACATCAGTACCTAGCCTCCTAGGTATCTGCACATTAGTAGTAGTGACTGAATGCTGAATTCTTGGGAAAATTTTATTTTTCATTGATTTCTTCCCGTCTGCCAGTGTTGGTGGGAAGAGATTGCTTTGTAAGGAGGTAGAAGGTACCTGGTAGAATAGTTGAGGTGCGAGGTAAGCTGGCTCAGATACCTACTTTTAAAGACATTAACAACTATAAAGGAGATATTGCCAAGAGGCGGTATAAGTTCCTTCACACCCCAACATTTCCATCCAAAAATCAGCTAAAATATTTTTCTTTTCTGCTTATCAAGCCAAAACGTAGCTAGTTCCTATTTCTTAGTTATATGTTAAGTTGATAGTATCTGAGGTACCTAATCTGGTTCATGCTTAGTGGTACCTATCAATATTTTATTTGTTTCTTTATATCAGGTTTCCGGATGGCATCTGAGTGTGCCCGCAATGTTCTGGAGCAGAAGGTTGTGGATAACAAGCAGGATGCAGGTATTGTTGCTCGAGTTGTGTATGTAACATCATAGCAGAGAACCTGCACATTTAATGTCATATATTGATTTTGGTTTTCCTTAGACTGGTACACCACTTTCTCATTGAACAATGCCAAGATAACTTTTTTCTGGATGCTAGTAACTGATAATCAATCAGTCCAAGAGTTATTTATTTATCTTGCTTTTTCTCATTATGATATGGTCATTTCCTTTATTTGTTGCAGAGAAGTTCAGATCAGACTTGATGAATATTGCAAGGACTACTTTGAGCTCAAAAATCTTGTCTCAGGACAAGGAGCATTTTGCAAAACTGGCTGTTGATGCGGTTATGAGGTTAAAGGTCAATATTTCATCTGCTTTAGCGACTTACAAAGAAAATATTTTTTCTTTTTAATCCTGTGATCTTGGTCGATCTGCATTATTCAAAATTCTAATGTGAATGAAACTTAGTTTTCCTCTTCCTTATCTATAATTAAACAGAGTCTTTCTTTTCCTTGGTCAGACACTAAATATTTTTCTTCAAAGGGTTAGAGATTTGGTTTCGCCAAATTAGGAAATTTTCACCTTCTTTCAGCGAATAAATTTCAACTTCTGCTTTATATTGTCAAATGTGAAAAATTAACATGAAAATGAGTCTATCACTTATCTATTGGTAGAAAGATGTGTGCCTCTCATTAACTCTTCCCATCCCCTTCCTTTGTTAGTTTTATTTATATATCGTGTTTTCAATCTTTTGCTAAATAGATTGTAATAACAGGGAAGTACCAATCTTGAATCAATCCAGATAATTAAGAAACCTGGAGGGTCATTGAAGGATTCATTTTTAGATGAAGGGTGAGTATTCTTCTGGTTTGAACTATTTACTACTATATGCATAGTCTTCCCATGTCTAGTCTCTTCTGATTTATCCGTTCTTCATTCTCAAAAATGGTAATTTCTGATTAAAGACATATGACTGTAGTGCTTTATTGATTCTTGCATCTTTGTTCTTTGTTTACATTAGTGAAAACAGCCTGTTTATCCAATGTGATCCACTGCAATTGTTACTGTAGCCTTCAGTTGATGAACCCGATGTCCGTATAGTTGGTTTTCTTGGGCCTTAACTAATTGTAGAAGAGTCTGCCTTTAGCCATCATGAACCTACATTTCTTGGCCTTAACTAATTCCAGTACGCTTGTTTCTTCCATTACTCTCTAGATTAGACTAACTGAAACACTCAATCCACATTAAATGATCCCAAACCATATAATCCAGACTTGATTAAGAATTAATTTCTGGCGTTATGTACAAGTTATAAGTTTTTCCTGTTACCCCCAGCCCTTCCTCAATGAAATATAAGTTACTGCAGTTCCTTTTTCTTGATGGAAGACAAATCTATGTGTCTAGGACAAGCTTTTTATTACATATTCTCTTTTGAAGTGGTAGTAAAGTTTCTTTTTGTAGGTTTATTTTGGACAAAAAGATCGGGGTTGGCCAACCAAAACGCATAGAAAATGCTAAGATTTTGGTGGCAAATACTGCTATGGATACAGATAAAGTGAAGATATATGGTGCACGTGTTCGAGTTGACTCAATGGCCAAGGTTGCTGATCTAGAAGCAGCTGAAAAGGAAAAGATGAGAGAGAAGGTGCAAAAGATCATTAGTCATGGAATAAATTGCTTTGTTAACCGACAGCTGATCTACAATTTCCCAGAGGAACTATTTGCTGATGCTGGGATACTTGCAATTGAGCATGCTGACTTTGATGGTATTGAGCGGTTGGGCTTAGTTACTGGGGGAGAAATTGCATCAACCTTTGATAACCCAGAGTCTGTCAAACTTGGCCACTGCAAACTTATCGAGGAGATCATGATTGGCGAAGATAAGCTGATCCACTTCTCTGGGGTTGCAATGGGACAGGCATGTACAATTGTTCTGAGAGGTGCAAGGTGAGTTGGTGCTACAGTGTCTGCATTTTATTTTCATATGTTTCAATTGCTTGTGCAAGCTTTTTATACATAACTGTGATGTCCCTTGTGTGAGTATTAAACCAAGACATTGTAGACGCATAATTTTTACCTCCCCCCTCTTAAAGGTAGTTTGAGCATTTAAATTTGTTTTAGAAGTCTAGGGATAATTATTTTTTATACAAAAGAAAAAAAGAAGCATTGTTCGACTGTTTGTTTTTACTTTTACTAGAGGACCTGCTCGACTCCTTAGTGCTTGCGTTCTCTGAAAATGGAACTGATGGTAATTGGCCCACCTTGCATTCTTCTGAATTTTTTGTGTTTTCCTTACTGGGTTTTAAATATGATGATATGTTCTACTTGTGATGTGTTTCCTTGTTAACATCTCTGTTTGTTCTTTTTTTCAGCCCTCATGTACTGGATGAAGCTGAAAGATCTCTGCACGATGCATTGTGTGTACTATCTCAGACAGTAAATGACAGCAGGGTTCTACTTGGAGGTGGATGGCCCGAGATGGTGATGGCTAAGGCGGTTGATGAACTAGCTAAGAAGACTCCAGGTAAAAAATCTCATGCAATTGAGGCTTTCACCCGTGCACTTTTGGCAATTCCAACCACCATTGCCGACAATGCTGGGTTAGACAGTGCTGAGCTGATAGCTCAGCTTCGTGCTGAACACCACAAGGACGAAAGCAATGCAGGAATTGATGTCATCTCTGGATCTGTGAGTAACTGATTTAAGATTTTTGAAATGAACATTGTTGTCATGCTATGAGTTCAGAATAGTTTCTGAGTATGGAGCTGTTCTGAGCTTTGTTGCCTCTGCTTTCTTTTTGATTGACTTTGCCTTAAGCATTAAAATAAGTGCAAGATGGAAATGATAAAAGTTAAAACTGATGCGATATCCTAAGGTTAGATCTAGTTAGAAAATTTAGTCAAATCTGTTTTCCTTCACCCTAACCACTATCTAACTTTAAATAGTTGGTGCTTAATTTGTTTGCAACTCGATGTTTGAGAAAGTCAATGTTTGACTCTCTTTCTCTTGTGGATAAGTCATTGTTTTCCTACCTCTTTCCCTCTGTTTTACTAGTTTGATAATAGGTCTATTGCTGATACTTTTAACGGTAAAGCAGCAGCTATTGGTGGCCTTACAACCTCATCTATTCATTGCTTAAGGAGGTTTGCAAACTATAGATAGAAATAATAAGCAATAGATTAGTTAATTGACGTTCACCCAAATGGAAGAGATGGATCGGAAAGTCTTTTTCCTTGTGTGGCTTGAATGGAAAGGGAGAAGCAAAGACAAACTGTTCTTTATCATGTTTCCGTTCCATAGCACTATTAAGTTTTTGTAATCACGTGCATATCTTGCTTGCTTATTAATAGTACTCGTCTAAATTTACTTATCCAACTGGGCATCTTTGACAGGTTGGAGATATGTCAGAGCTAGGAATATCCGAGTCATTCAAAGTTAAACAGGCAGTATTGCTCTCTGCAACTGAGGCTGCTGAGATGATCCTAAGGGTTGACGAAATCATCACTTGTGCCCCACGGAGGAGGGAGGGAATGTAAAAAAACAATATCGGTCATGTTTAAGCTGTTGAGGTTACTCGTATTCTATTATGGTTTGAGAATTTGAGATGGTAGGTGTTGACAATCGTAAATGAACCAAAATGTTTGATTGCTACTGTAACCATGCTAATATGCACTACGTTGAGTAGTTTATTTTGTTTTTGTTTTTTTGAGGAAATGTTTTGGTTTTGTTTCATCATGTAAGTTTTAAGTAAATGCATGCTTCTATTACTCTAGACATGTATTTGTTTTTAATCCACACTAGTGATTTTGTCATTTCAAGCATGATGGTGTTGGTACTGTGTATAAGTCATAATTCTCTGCTGTATATTAGTTGAAGTCGAACAAATTGCGGTTAATAACTTTTACTGCATAAACTAAAAGCCAAATTTTAAAATTATCATCTTAATTTTAGTAATATGATAACATTTTTAACGATAGACAACTGAATTTTCAGAACCAAACAATACTGTACATAAAGCAAGCACCTCTAAGATAAAGTTACACATGCATGGAGTGGATGATCAGCCTTGAATCTTGGTTAAATTAGTAAAAACATCAACATCTAAACTTGGACATCCAAGTCACAAGATTGAGAAATCATCTTTCTTGTTACATCTTTAAAAAACTCAAACAAAGTTAAAAAAAAAAGTGAGTTCTAACATGCTTGTAATTTGCATCTAGTGTATTTTGGGTTTGAACTTGAACCATAAGATGCAGTGTACTTCTAGTGAAAAGACAATCCTGCCTCAATGTCCTTTGATTTGTAGTTCAGTGTGCAACAATGTTGGTAGCGGTAATGCCATTTTTTAGGACCTGCCAAACAAAACGCCATAGATACGTGAAAAAAAGTTATCCTAAGGAAAACCAAATCATGGGAAGTCTTTGTCAATCATTTTCCTGAATCTGATAAAATTAAGCACGATGGAGACGTGTTATAGAAGATATCTTCATTTGATGAGTCCAGGGATGCATGCAGAAAGATCCAGATTCCATTTGTGGGATTACACTGGGTATGTTGTTGTTGCAGACTCGGAGAGAGGTTGATTCTAAGATGTTTAATTTGCAGGATATGCATGCATGTAAGAGAAGTATGGCAAACTCATAGATATTTGCACTGAAACAAGGAAATCTGCTAACCTTTAATTTATGTTATCTTGACATCGCGAAGAAGTCTAGCAGCCATGGCACCACATCTTCTAGCTTCCCAATCACTAAGGTTTCTGTTCTCAAGATCCATAACCAGGTTATTGTCTACCTTGCCCTCATTGTCAATCACATCACCTTGATTAAGCCCATATTTACTTTCATCTTCGTCTGATCCATTCTTAGTTTCTGTTTCCCCAATCTCTTCTGTCTGCTGCTGAGCCATCTGTCTAACAATTTCCGAGGTACTTCCTTGTGACTTGAAGCTCATTATGTATAACTGGATGCTTGGATGTTGGTATGTACTATCCATCTGCATAAAAATAGGTCCACATAAAAGATCAGCTTCATGGGTTGGAGAATTCGGGACCAAAAACTTGGCTATAATCGATATGATTATTTATTTGGAAGCCCTTTCTACAGAAAATCAACAAAACCGTTTACAAATGCAAAGTTCAACAATATACACATAACTGATGATGATAGGAGATTCTATGGCCTAGTTACCTTTGCTTTTGGAACGGTTTTGACCTCAAAATGTCTCTTCCACGTCTCAAGCATCTTTTCATGGACATTTGTTGATCGGATTTCATGACCCAACTATAAATGAGAAGTTCGTTAATTAATAATAACAAAAAGAGAATTGGATAAAGAAAATAAATTTCGCAAGTTCTATAAAACATTGGAGAGGATACAACACCAGAATTGTTGTCTTTGGTCCAGACAGTGCAATTATTGTCTGCAAAAGCGGTTCCAAAAGATGCTCTGCATAAACCTAGTAAAGATATGGAAGTATTAGTGCAGATAAAACTTTATATGAGCAAGTAGAATTCAACTACCATATAGATGATAAAAACTTACAACGTCAGTCCCAATGATATAGTCGAATGGAGGGCTAACAGCCTTTATATGAGTTTCATTACCCCAGTCCAACTCTGCAGCCTGTATGGAACCAAATGAATCTACAAGGAATAAAGTTCAGTTTGCATACAAAAGTACGACAAATGATAGAGAATATACAGTTCAAAAAGCTAAAAAGATCCAAATGGCACATTAATTTGAAACCTGGATCTGAGATTGTCTGCATGATCCTGGAAGTGTTACGCTCAACATTTCTCATTAGCAATGGCAAAACCTCAGTTTGGTCAGTTGAAACTACATCACATCCAAGCAATGCCATGCCTGTGGAAATTTGTTCCATCTAAGACAAAGAACCATGTAACTGTAGATGGTATCTAAAAGAATTGAGTCTAATTAAAGTAAAGGCAGCCTACCAAATCCTGCTACGCCACAACCTGCCCCAAGTTCAATCACACGCTTTCCTTTCAATTTAGATGGAGAAAACCTCCCCTTTCGACAATTTCTTTCCTATGATTTCAAATCAAAAGTTTCCAGCTAAAAACGTCAAAACTGAAGGAGTAGGAGTGCTCAAAAAAGTATATACATGTACATGTAGATATATATAAGCTTGAATAACTGAAGAAAAAGGCTCAACATTTAAAAGCCAATGATCTCTGTATTCCAGCCTCAACTCGGAAAAGGGAAAACGAAAAAGGAAAATAAAAAATCACAGTCAGGTTTAAGAAAAATGGAAAAGAGAAGGAATACAGTATGGTAGCAAGGATAAACAAATTATTCATGTCTTACTACAGTAAAATAGAAACTCATATCATTTTTGTGCGTAGCAGATCAAAACAAAGCAGTGTTGAATAAATTGAAGTTGAAGCATACTAGAGGGGACTTAAAACCTTACCAGAAATTTTACTAAAACCATAGATGCATCCCAAACAGTAGTGCCTAAATGCTTCGAATTAGGATCCTGTCATAAAATAAAGTGAAAAAGAAAGACCAATAATAAACGACAAAGCATATATTCAAAGGCCTAATTACCTGGCAAAACTGAAGCTGATGACCCAGAACATCAATGAAAATTGCAGAAGTGTGTGGAGAATTTAATCTGGTTAAAAATTGAGACTTTAGACCACCAAATGACATATACACAAGAAATCATGAGCAAGAGAAAACCAACATCTGTAAGTAAGTCAAATATATACCTAAAGAAGTGAAATTTAGGTATAGTCATTTTGAGAAAATATAGACATGTGTATGCTCTTTTTACTAAGTGATGATAACACACAATTTCGCCATAATTTTGTAGTCATCATACTAAGATTGGTTTTCACTAATCTACATAACAAACTAGTATGTATTCTACTAACCGAAATACTAAAAACTAAGCGCATATAAGCCTGTTGTAATGTCATTACATTTGGTTCTATCAATTAATTAATGCTAAATAGGCAAAGTGATCAGATTGATTGCATTTTTCAAATGGTGGTATATAAGCAATAGAAATCAACGACAACGCCATAGTCCCAAACAAGTCTAAGCAAGAGAGATCAATTCGGAAAACAATTTTACAATTGTCCTTAGTTCCATAAGTAGCATTACAAGCTCATTGTCTTCTCCCCACCTCCCAGCCCCTAAGCCCCCAACTCCCTACTCCCCACCTCATCCCAGTGGCAGAGCAAAGAATTTGGCGAATAGTGTGTAAATTTTCTTCTTATACACCTCTAATAACTAACATTTAACCTCCGTACACCACATAATTTTCATGATCACCCTTCGCTTAAGATGACTCCGCCCATGCCTCACCCCCATAAACTCCCAATCTCACCTCACCCCATAGTATCTTCCTAGCAGTGTTATCAAAAAGCAAAAAGCGCAAAAAATCTTTAAGCTATGTTGAGGCTTTAAGCACAATGTGCAAATAAAGCATGAACTTCACTGAAAAACAGTACAAAGGAACAAAACATACAAATATATATATATATATATATATATATATATATATATATATGTTTAGTCCAAGACTAATAATTATAAGCATGAATGAAACTTATATGAACAAAGAAATTGAAACAAAATTACGATATAATAAAATATCAATTGTTTAGTGTAGAAGCTCATTGACAATAAGGAAAAGTATGCCTTAGAACCTTGATGACGACACTGAAGCGCACATGATGTGAAGCAAAACGTTCAACACATTGTGTGAGCCTCACTTCATTCAACGTGCCTTTAACAACACTACTTCCTAGATTACATATAAATGTTCTTGTGATAACATTTTTTGGCTTACTTACCGAACACCAGAAAATAAGCAAGAAATCTACTTATATTCCCAAAAACATTTTCCATATACCAAACACCCTAAAGAACACATTTTTAGTGTGTAATTACAGTTAGAATGACTACAAATATGTGAATATGAAATAAGCAATTCTAAGACCAAATAAAAAGGGAAAAAGGACAAATATACCTCGAACTATAATGGTACGGAAATACCCTCCATCATACATTTGGACATTGGTGCCCTGCCGTCCAAAAACTAGAGCATATATATATGCTTTAGTTTTTGGACGGCAGAGGCACAAATATCCCAAAAATATGGCGAAGGGTATCTACGTACCATTTGCCATAGTTCGGGTATATTTATTCTTTTTCCCAATAAAAAAATGTTAGAAGAGGCACATACCTATCTGCCTCCATAGAGAATCAATGCACGGAATTGAACAACACTTTCAGCTCGAATATATCCTTCAGGCAAAAATGCAAAAACGAAAAAAATTGATTAAATCCTCTTTTTTCACTTGCTGAAAAATTGGGAAAATCGTTTCATCAACAAGTAAAACTAAGAAAAAAATCTGGTGAATAAATTAATCAGCTCAAATTACATAATATTATATACCTGATGAAATTATGCGATTTCTCGCCGGAAAATCAACTGAGTTCCCCAAAACTACGCCATGGTTTTAGTCGCTGTTTGTTTACTCTAGGTTAGGGGGGTATTTTAGGAATTTCCATTATTTTTAGCAATGTTATTCTTGTACCTTTTTAGGTTTTAAAGTAAAAAAAACCTTAGTTCTGCTACTTATTTCACATTGCTGTGGTTAGAAGCAGTCAGTCTCCTTCATCACATCACAAGTCTTGAAGAATAACTGCTCTTTCTTGCCCAGTTTACAGGTAAGTTTCTTCCTTTTTTTTTTTGTTTGGCCTTTTTAATGTTAGTTAGGTTTAATTTCTAATTCGAGATGTTTTGAATTTTCCATGAAATATTTGCCATTGTCTATTATTGATTACACAAATAGATGAACGAGGATATTATATTTCATCAAATTTTTCTCATTGGCGATCCTCTTCCTCAGCCTCTTTTTATCTATTTGATTTCTCTTTTCCATTGCTTGCTCCAGATTGGGCCCGTGCTGCACACCATCACTAGTAGTAATATATATAGGGGTGTGTATCGGTTTGGTTTTAAGTATTATCAGTTCAGTTTATTGGTTTTCGGTTTTTAAATATGTTAAATCGATAATCAAATCAATAAGATATTTGTTATCGGTATTGGTTTAACGGTTCGATTTTCGATTTAACCAATAAAAAAATAATTAGTGCAAAAATTATGCTTAGTGTAGTAAAAGTATAGCAAATACTCATAATTCACAACCCTAGCCATTGCCTAAAAGACTAAAGTAATACTAAAACCTAAAGGATAAATACAAAAAGCAGAGTTAATTAAGTAATGTTAATTGTGTAGAGTCCTTAATTAAGGTCTAATATAATAATTATATTAATATTTTTTGTTTGATATTTATGTATGACTAAAAATTAAAATAGTAAATTATTATATTCTTAATGGGTTATCGGTTACCCTCAATAATCCAATATAAAAAAATCAATATCGAATCGATAAACCATTAATTTTTTTTTGTTAAAACCATTAAATAACCGTTAACCCAATAACACTTTTTTTGATTTTTTCACCCCCCAATAATATATAATTAGTAGATGGAGTATGTATCTGTTAGGAATGATAAAAAATAAAATAAATTAGCCAAAACTATCTATTTATGTTTTTTTCCCCACAATTTCATGTCGGGGCCAAAACTGGAGAAAACATGGGCTAAAGCCCATTCCTGTTGAGGCTATGTCTGCAAACTCCAAACCCATATATATTTTAACCCGACATAAAATTAAACATCTACACAGCCGCCTGTTTCCATCTCTTTCTGAAACATAAAAGGTATATATTTCTTTTTGTTGAGGAATTTGGGGGTTATTGAAAGTTTGCTTTAGTGTTTAATAAAATGTTGTAGTTGTGTTGAATTGATTTTCGTTTCAAGAATCCATTATACATTCCTATTCTAATAATCTATTAGAATTTGTGCTTTGCCTTTGATCCAGGGCAAGTTTGATAAAATGTTGTAGTTGTGTTGAATTGATTTTCGTTTCAAGAATCCATTATACACCCTCCATTCTAATTCTAATAATCCATTAGGATTTAAGTTTTGCCCTTTACTCATTAGGTCAAGTTTGATAAAAGTGATTTTCGTTTCAAGAATCCATTATACACCCTATTAATAATTAAGTTTGATAAAATGTTGTAGTTGTGTTGAATTGATTTTCGTTTCAAGAATCCATTATACACCCTCTATTCTAATAATCCATTAAAATTCAAGTTTTGTCCTTTGGTCATTAGTCAAGTTTGATAAAAGTGATTTTCGTTTCAAGAATCCATTATACACACTATTGAAATCATGACCAAACCTCTATTCTAATAATCCATTAGAATTTGAGCTTTGCCGGTGGGTCTTGGAGGGCATTATGTACACACACCCATGGTAGAGAGGCTATATCCGATAGCAAATAAGTTATTATAACAATAACATGCTTAGTATAATTCTACAAGTGGGGTTTTGGGGAGGGTTCTAGCTTTGTGTAACCTACTTTCAATATTTTGTTTTGTTTCTTCTTGTTGTTAGATCTCAGAGCCAGTTACACCATTTGTATTGTTTATATTCTCGTTGTTAGTCACACCTCGGCTTTTCAATATGGTTGTAGTTTGAACCTTTGAAGCCTGGAACTTTTAACTAAATTGTAAGAGTGAAAGATTCATAACTTACTTATTTTCTGTTGATGCTGATATTTATCTAAATGCAGTTAAATAAGTTGCAACTTCAGGGAGTTTTATTCCCAGCTCCTGGGAGGAGAAATTCTGAATGTGACTCAATCTATTTCTCTTGAACTAATTACAGATTTATTTTACCAAAGCTGCTATGAGTGATCCGGCAACCGAATCGAATGATGTGCATTCAAGCTCCGAAGAAGCTAAGAAGCCCCAGATTGAGCCTATTCGGATGCCTACTGTGGAGGAAATAAGGGGCCAAGACATTTGGAACAACTGTGCAGTTCGTAGTGTTGTTAGCGGAGTCATGGGTATGCTTTAATCACAAGGATCTCCTAGTTGTTTGAATTTTTGTGTCGTATTGTTTTGTGTTTATTTTATGGATATTATGTCCAAAATGTCGTTCTTGCAATCCCTTAATATAATGAATCATAATACTTTTCTTTATAAAAAAGGATGTCAAATTTTCTAAGTTTGATATCATAATAATGTTACAAGTGACAAGAGGTAATCCAAGAGTTTTTTTTTTTTAGACTTAACTCCGTTGCTATGACTGTTATTCTCTTGTACTCGTGGAGTTGGAGTTGGGAATGTGAGAACTTGTTTAAGTTAGCTTACAAGCTCTATCAAGTATCAACTTTCATTGTTTGGGAATGAATCTGTATCTAAAATATAATTGGATAATTTTTTCTGCTTAACTTGAAATCTTTTGTCGATGTTTATGGACTTTGCTGTGAGGTTACTTCTGGGGTTCATCGAGATTCTAGTGATGCATTTTTTAGTTTTGTAGGAGGGGGACTTGGTTTGTTCATGGGTATGTTTCTCGGGGCATTGGATAACCCAATAATGCAAGAGGAAATGACTACTAGGCAACAAATTGTATACCAAGCAAAGCAGATGGGTCGAAGGAGTTGGAGTTCATGCAAGACTTTTGCTGTTATGGGTTTGGTTTTCTCTGCTGCTGAGTGTACAGTTGAGAAGGTACTTTTGATCCTTAGAGAGGATAACCATGTGGTATTCTGCAATTGTCGTTTTACAGTTTTCCTGTTCATTTTTTGAACCAATGAAGTAGTTGGAAATCATTCTCACTATTAGAATCGGATACTTCTGAAATATTCTAAAACTCAAATGTCACAAGTAACTGTTTTCTTATCTTATGTTCAAAGGTACGGGCGAAGCATGACATTACAAATACAGCAGTTGCAGGGTGCGTAACAGGTGGCGCATTATCAGCTAGAGGTAAAATTTGTTACTTTGATCATGCAAAAATGTGTACAAAGGGTTCTTCAGTAGATATACTTTCCTATCTTACGTGATTGTTATATGTTTCATATTATCAAAATGTAACTCATGCCTAACAAAGAAGAAAGATGAAGTAGTATGTTTAACAAAAGCTTTTCGACGAATAGGTGGTTTTGGCTACTTAAAGAGAGAGTGCGTCCAACCATTTGAGAGGAGAGTTTGGCCTCAGTTGAAACGACTGTAGCTAATCCCAACTAGTTTGGGATCAAGGCATTGATCCCATATATCTAGTGCTAAACATAACAGTATCAAAGACCAATTTCTTATTCTTAACTAAATTCATATGGATGACAGTGGTGGATAGGCAAGACGAGTTCATTGGTTGAAAACTGCCATGTAGCTCTTTCAGATTTCAAATAGCGGAACTGAGCTAGAAGTCAGGGTGTCACTCATCATGTAGAATTCACCTGTTCTTTCTCGGTGCTTTTCCTTTTATTTTTTGGTCTACTCTTACTTGAAAAGATTGGACTGCATTACTTTGTCCCAAGCTGCGTTTATAAGGTGGAAATGCAGGGTGGGGTGCTTTACTGATCAGGGGTTTCAAACAACAACAACAAAAAGGGTAGAGTAGAGTATACATAGACCTTATCACTACCTCGTGTAAATAGAAAGGTTGTTTCCAAAAAACCCTCGGCTCAAGTATATAAAATCAAAGTAGAGGAAGAAGAAAATAATGAAGAATCAGGGGTTTCAAAATATTTGAGAAAATAACAAGTAAAAATTTGAATTTACAACTACAAAAAGTTTGTTGGAACATAATAATAAATCTACACAATAATATCCTGAACTCTCCTAAATTCTTAGCTATAGAACAACACAAATATAATTTGTAGTCAATTACTTGTACTAAGATTAAGAAATAAATTTGTTCGGGAATACATGACGGACAATCTGATGCATAAAGCCCACACAAGCCATTCCTGTGGCAACGGGTGGAATAGTTCATAATGTAAATCATGCATAGGGAACAACACACCTATTGAGGTGCTAGTCCCATGGGATTTTAGCCTCCTAGAATCCCGTCAAAGTGGTTAGATTTTCCATGCCTCAGTGGACGAGTCCCAATTTTACATTTCAAAAGATTGATCATGAGGCAAGGTATTATTATACTGAAACGTGAGTTTGCTACTTTTATTATCTTAAACAGCCATAATGAAACGTCCTCACTCAAACTGTTTTGTTGGAAGCCATATTGTTCACCAACCAAACACTGGAAAGTGAATGCATCGTGAAATTATTTCTTTCATGCAAACACATACCTAGTGGAAAATGAGCAAACAAATTGCAATGGGGGTCTCTCCTTCATAATAGACATTTTGATTTCGACAAAATCGCTAGATGACTAGCATTCAATATTGTTTTCTCTTTGTCTGTTCTCCCTGAGAAAGTTGCACCTGGAAGTACTACTGTTTTCGGCTGCCAACTGGGTCTTCTTTTCGTATTTTAGTTTTCATCTAATGAGCGTTTGACTTAGTTTTTTTGCCTAATTGAATTGCGGTCTCTCCTTCATTTCAGGTGTTTTTGTTTGATAACATTGACACATGCTTTCAGTATTGTATACAATTTATTTATATTCTCCCTTCGAAAATTAATGGTCGGAAGTGTACTGTTTAACACATGCTTTCTTATTTTAGCTTTTGAAGGATTTTTTTGCCTTAGTTTTCTTAGAGCAAAACCTATAATCAAAGTGAGAATCCCAGTTAAGTATTTAAGATTCCATTTGATCTGGGGTGTTGGGGGAGTTGAAACTTCTCCCTCGAACAATCATGACACTACCTGCCCAGATTTCCATTTACAGGTTGTGAGATTTCAGTATTGGAGATATAGGTGATTAAGACAGGACATGACGTAGTTGCAGCTTATAGAGGACATGACCTTAGATAGGAGGTTGTGGTTTGCCACGGATTAGGGTAGAGGCTAGTAGGTAGTAGAGCATTGTCTTGCTTATCCTTCCATACTGGTAGTCATAGTATTTCTCCTTTACTTTCTTGTCCTTTGGTTTCTGTTACTATTTACTGTCTCTTGTACTTCAATTATCACTCTATTTTGTTGTAGTTATTGTTCCTTTCTTATTGTCATGCTTTCTTAGTATTTTTCCATGATTTCTTCACTTCCGTTATTTCTTTCTTTGATGTGCGTTTCCTTGAACCGAGAATCTATCAGAAACAGGCAATCTAACTCCCAAGGTAGGGGTAAGGTTTGCGTACACTCTACGCTCTCCAGACCCCACTTGTGGGATTACAATGGGTTTATAATACAATCTGATTTCGTTTCAGGTGGACCAAAAGCTGCGTGTATGGGTTGTGCTGGCTTCGCGACATTTTCAGTCTTGATAGAGAAGTTCTTGGATAGATATCACTAACCCAAGTAGACAAGATAAATCATTCTTCAGCCTGGATGATGTAACCTACACCAACCTACTTTATATTTAGAATCAGATTCTTTTTGTTCCCATTCTATGACAGTGCACAGTGTTGTAGATGTGCCATGCCGCTCGCTTTCATTGTCGTTTTTGTCCGATTCGTAGCTTAAATGAAAGAAATGAGGATTCATATAGACGATTCCAACTTGTTTGAGACTGAGACGTAGTTATTGTTGATTTGCCCTTTGTGCATTCCTTGAGTTTGTGCTTCTGGTCCTAGAAACTAGTCAATTTTCACAATGTCCTTTATTAGGTATGTAATAAAGTGAATCAAATATGGTACGTTCATGTTAATGTTTTATTAATATAAATTTCACTATGATATACTTTTTCTCATTTATTAATCAAGTAGTGGGGACAACACACGTTTGCTATATTCAAATGTTGTGAATGTGCTCACTCAAAAAAGTTAAACAATAACTATTATTATTATAAAAGTTAAATAATAACAATAATAAAATTAATTCAAGAAAAGTTTGATAGTTTTAGGAAGGAAAATTCACCCCAGATATCTATTTAAGGCTTAATATTACAGCCTTTAGATGTACTTTTTTTTATATTACTACTTATAACAGTTTAATTACAAGTATTAACATATTAGTTTTAATTTATTTGATTTAATTAATTAATTATTATTTTTATAATTACCTTACAATTAATAAGTAAGAGAAATAAGATAATCAATTGTCATTATCTCTTACACCATTTTAGGGATAACATTAATAGAGAATCAATTGTCATTATCTCTTACACCATTTTAGAGATTTTTTTTTTCCAGTTTTCACACTCCCACCCCCACGTTCCTCTTTTACATAGAACTGATTTTTTCTCTCTAACCATCTTCAACGTTCATCTTCTTCATTAAAAAGAAATTTAGCAGAACTCACGATTGAGCCCCATGGATGTGGAAGGAAAAAAATAAGATAACATACTTTCCTTTATGTATGAATTTTTTGTTATGTTTGATAATTGGAAGAAGCGAATGCTTACTTGTGCCCCACTAGAAGTGGATTTGTATTTTTAAAATTAACACATGTTTTAAAAATTATATGTGCACGAAAGAATGTCATATATGAATTCTGATTTTTTCTTTCTATTCTTTTGTTCTCTCTATCAACTCTTTTGTTGTCGGTAGCAGGCAGCTCGAGAAGAGGCGTTGGCCAAGGTTTCTGCTCTTGAACTAGAGATAAGTGCTGCAATGCCAACAAATAATGAAATTTTGGTAAAAGATGCTTCTTCTCAGTCGAAGATTAGTCAAGTAAAGAAAACTGTTAGTCATGCAAATCAAAAGGGAAAAACGAGGAAGGTGAAAATTGTAGAAGCGACACATTCTGTTTCGGATTCGGATTCAGATATCGTAAGTGAGATTAAAAAGAAAAAAATAAAAAAGCAACAAATATCGAAATTGGTCAGTCTTCAAAACCAATCAACAAGAAGAACAACAAGGAAGGAGGACTCAGAAATCCCAATTTCAAAAAAAGGCAAAAAAATGGTTAGGATAAGTATTTTATTTAATTTATTTTTGAATTATTCAATTTAATATTTTTTGTGTTAAAAATATTGTATTATGATTATTGTTGTTACGAAACTTATATTGATGTGAAAACTGTACGAAATTTGAATAATATTTGTATGAATATGACATTAATATATGATATATGAATATTGTATGAAATATGATGGAATGTTGGTATTCAACTGGTATGAAATTGGTTTGATATCAGTAGCCCAATTAATTGATTTTAGTGTCGTTTGTTAAATGCCACAGTGCACATGAAATCTGGTATGATATTTGAATAATATTGGTGTGATTTTTTTTTCAAATATGGTATACTGTTTTATTAAAATTTATGTACATGAATATGGAATGAAACATGAATAATATTGGTCTGAACTGAATTTTATATATAGTGTATGAATGTTGATATGAAATTGATTTAATTTTTGTATAAATTATGTGAAATAATTAATTTATAACTACTTATAAAATGAAGTTGGTATCGGAATGAAACATGATATTGTTGGTAGGTTGGCAAATTCATTTGACATCTCAATTACATGTTTTTTTCAATTTTTCCAATGGGATATCAGTTCGATACCAAGTGCACATCAATTGAGTACAAATTAACTAGTTTAGGTTAACTAATTTAGTTGAAATCTCAATTACATGTTTTATTCAATTTTTCCAATGGGATATGAGTTTGATACCAAGTGTACACCAATTGGGTACAAATTAACTAGTTTTAGGTTGACTAATTTAGTTGAAATCTCAATTACATGTTTTATTCAATTTTTCCAATTGGATATCAATTAGATACCAAATGTATACCAATTGGGTATAAAATTAACTAGTTTTAGGTTGTCTAATTCGGTTGAAATCTCAATTACATGCCCTTTTTTCAATTTTTCCAACGGAATATCAATTCGATACCAAATGTTACAAATTAGATGCATCATTAACTAGCTTTAGGTTGGCTATTTCACTTGAAATCTCAATTACAAGTTTTTTTTTCAATTTTATCGCTGGGACATCAGTTGGATACCAAATGTATACCAATTTCATACTAAGATTTGAATTTTCAGTTGATATCAATTGCATACCATCTTTATTTAGTTTTTTTACTATACATTTGAAAAACACTTAATACACAATGATTAACTAGTACACATAATAAATGTTCTGAAATTATAATTCATTAACTTAAAAGACAAAATAAATCAAAACATGAGTTTGTCACATTAAAACAACCATAACAAAAGAAAAATAAATGTCTTTTTTTTCCAGCAAGGTAATTTGAACATGTCTTCTTGTTGTGTCCCTCCCGACGACATGTACTGCACGTAACCTTAGACCTCTTGCATTTCACATCAGCAAATCCTTTCCAATGTTCATGTTGTGGTCTCCCTACAATTCTTTTTGAACCAGACGACAATAATTTATGCTCCGACACTTTTTTAATTGCATATTTTCCTGTTCCATCTTAAATTATTGTGCTAGTATTACAGGATACAAAAGTACAAAAAACTTTACAAAACTATATATAATATGACAATACGCACTGAAACAATATTTTTTTGTATCAATTTATGCTCCAACACTTTTTGAATTGCATATTTTCCTGTTCCATCAAAAATTGATTATAATAACAACAAAATTATACACACTCGTCATTATTTTTTCATACAAATATCATTCAGACAGTACACTATAAAACAAATTTCATACAAAAAATAATATTTCACATTTCATACTCACTTAATACACATTTCATAAAACAATCATCATTCATACCAATTTTATACATTTCTCATACCAAATAATTCATTACTCTCACACAAATTTATACACAAATGACAAAACATATATAATCAATAAAATTTCAAATTTCATACCAAATTAAAACACTTTTCATACATTTCTTCAAAAATCTAAATAACTTTTTTACACATTAGTGAACACACTTTCATATCAATTTCATTACATTTATACTACCAAATTCATTCAACATTTTACATTTAATTTATATTTTCGAAAAAAGAAAACAGTAATCAATATTACAATTTTACTATACCTACATAATCTACAACGATAAAACTATTTATATTTTATACATTGATACTCAAATCTTTCATATATTGCGCCTATTTCTCACGAAATCATGGTTTTGACAGTATACAAATTAATCAAACAAAAACAAAAAGAAACTTACCAAAACGTATTATGAACAAAATTAACAAAAACGTATTATGAACAAAAACGAATTTTGACCAATCACTAAACAATAATAAATACTAACCTGAAGGATCCCATCTTCCAATCTTCCACCATGTTTAATTAATATTGATACGTAGTTGTCCATCACAACAAAATCAAGATTTTTCAAAGAAAAAAAAAACTTCAATTCCTCAACAGTGAGAAGATTTTTGGCAGAAAATTGAAGAGAGAGAAACGTTGAACAAAAGAAAAAAGATAAAATCAGAATTTTTAATTAAGTTTAACTAATTTGAGTGAATTAAGGAAACTAAATATTCTTAATAAGTTTGAATTCCTTAATTCGTGCTAATTAGTAATTATCTACACTCAATTCAAATTAAATTAACACCCATATTTCTGTTTTTTACCTTTTTGCCTTCAAAAGTGTTTTGTTTTTGTTTTTTTATCTTTTTTTTTTTAAACAAATGTTTTCAATTATAAAAAACAACTTTTTTTTAATAAATTGTTAGAACATGAAATTTTTGATGTTACAACTTGAAAGTTTAAATCTACTGCTATAACTTGAAAATATTAATATAATATATGTCATATATGAAATTTACGCTTTTAGGAAAACTATACAAATTAGACCTATTAGGCAAAGTATTTATCTAAATTCAACCCAACCCAATATATTTACCCTTGTTCTATTCACTGAAATACTGTTGATACCATCAGAGTATATATATACTTTAATGATATCTATATACACTGATAGTATCAACCAGTAATTGAACAGTCTTTTCACTGAAGCATTGCCTCTTCCTCCTTGATGCCATCAGAGTATATATATACTCTAGTGGTATGAATGAGTAACTGAGTAGTGTTTTCACTGAAGCACTGCTTCTTCCTCAGAGTATATATATACTTTGATGGTATCATGTAGTAAACGTGAATTAGTAGTTAAAAACTAGGGCTATAAAAGTAAGGGGGTAGTCGCTTACAAATAGTTTCTCTTTTTGGGGTACAAGTGCTCATTTTCCTTAGTTTTAAGGGTAATAGTGGACCAAAAAAATGAGGTAAGTGGCATTTATAGCCAAATAGGTGGATAAATGTTATATTTAAGGGTAACTTACAGAAATCTCACTAGTTTAAAAGCTAATTACTTAGATACATGCTAGTTTGCAATATTACGAATCTTACCAAGTTTTAGTGCCTCCAGATACATCTAGATACATGTATCTCGGGATACATTGGGTCAACATTAGTTGTAATTTGTTCTAGATACACTGTATCCAAGTGGATTCACATGTATTTGGGATACACAGATAAATCCCGCTCGCTTCCCTCGCCCTCCCATCTCACTCGCCACTCTCCAATATATATGATATCCTAGATACATGTGACTCATACCAGATGCATTCACATGTATCTGGCGT